ACACTTAAAAAGTGTGATCAGAGTGAACTCTGCTGTCACATAAATAATATTAAGAACAGAACACTGAAATCAATGATTTCTTTCATTGATTTCATGAATAAGATGTGTAAAGATAATCTTGAGAAATATAAGATCTTCTAACTTCTGATAGAAATGAATCTCATGAAGAGACTCTATTTTCATCATATCAGAGACTGAGTGTTATTAAAAAGTGTTACTTTAATACATATATACTTACTGCAGTGATTCACTCTCTGTATATGTAACTGAGAGTTATAACTTTTTCACACTGCACAGCTCTCTCTGAGATGCTGCTGCTGATTTGCAACTTACATAGTCTCTCAGTTCAGCATGTGCTGTGTATATACAGCTCTATGTGCTGAGACTGTGTTGATCATTATAACCTGATATAATACTCACTTTTCACAGATCATGTTTCATTTAATTGAGAGAGAAGAGGAACACAACTGCTGTTTTATTTAAGAGAAAGTGAGTAATTGAATCTGTAGAAGATAATTTAATTTCTTCTATATTTGAAATTTAATTAGTCTATACTCTTTAATTTGAGTGTTTCTGAGAGTGTTTTAATAGTTTTCATACCAGCTTGAAATTAGTGATTGATTGAAGAAGAGAAAAGAGAGAAGAAAGAAATGAGAATAACTTATCTTTATAATATGAAAACAGAGAATTACTGCAATTATTTACTCTAGTAACAAAGATCTGTTTTCTGCATGTATCTCTGATACAGATTATATGATAACTGTATATAAAGAATATCAACAGTGTATATATTAAATGAAAATGATATTACTATGCAACACTGTAGCTGTTTCTGTACATCACTGAAAGCTATTAATATTTTCTTTAAGTCTCTTTATATTTGATAAGTCAGTAATATATTTCAATACACTCTTTCTTTTATTATTATTATTATCATCATCATTATTATTATTATTATCACTATTACTATCACTATTATCATTATCATCATTATTATCATCATCATCATTATTATTATTATTATTATTATTATATTATTTCTGACCGCCTCTTCTGCCTTTATCTCTCTTTAATACTCACTGAAATTAATTATGTTATCTCTCTTCAAATATTCTGCGGTTCTGCGGATCATTAAGGCGCGTGAGCACTGTCACAGATTGAAGAGAGAGAAGAAGAAGACATTCAAGTAAGAGAAGACAGATTGTAAAACATATTATAATGTCTTGAAGAGGCTTTGTAAGAGAGTAGAATAATAATAATTTTAAGTAACACTTCTGATAGATTTAGACTGAACTAAGTATAGAAATAATGTAAATAATATTATCTATGAGAGATTGAAGAAGAAGACAGTGAAGAGTCTTATATAGTAGCAGTGAAATCAGAAGAAGTTCTGAGAATAATTTAAGATTAAGATAAAGAGAGAGAGAGAGAAGAAGAGTGTTACTGTAAATAAGTAATGATAGAAGAAGATTGAGAGAGTATTGAAGTAAGAGATAAAGAAGTTAAAACTGATAAGTTTTTTATTTATTAAGAGATAATAATTTTTGATAATACTTCTGTTCTCTAATTAATTAGCAGAAGCTGATAGAGAAGAAGAGAATTGAGGTCTTATTCAGGTCTTGAATACACTTCATAATTCAGAACATTGAGAAGACAGCTCTACTCTCTAAGCATGTCAATCTGCTTACTGCTGAGATGGAACCTGAGACAGCAGATCAGGAAATACAGGATTTTAAAGCACAGGTTGATCTGACTGAGAGAAAGCAGTAGAAACTCTTCTCTGAGAAGACAGCAGAGAGAGATTTTAAGATGATTATTATCTCAGATAAGGAGAAGAAGAAGAAGAAGAAGAATAAGAAGTGAATTATAAAGAATGATAAGAAAAATAAGAAAGAGAAGAAAGATAATAAGTAGAAAAAGTTTTTTTCTTTTTATATTAGTTAGTTATAAGTTCATAATTATTAATAATTGAAATTAATTTTAAGTTTTTAAAAATTATTGTACAAGTTGTAATCAAGTCAGGAACAATATATATATATATATATATATTTAACTATCATGATTCACAAATCACTATAATGTATAAGTATCAACATTTTTTCAATATTGATATTCATAATATTAATATATTTTTAATAATATTATCTGATAATACAATTTAGTAACACTCTCTTTTACAATATTAATATATTTCAAGAAATATAACAGAGATTAATCAAGATTGTTTATTTACTTTTATACATTGATAATATTCAATCTGAGTTAGTACTAAAATTATAACTAAGCTAAGAAATAAGATTATTTTCTCTTATATTAATTCTTCTTACACACATCAGTGATCAGTTATTGAAAATAAATTATTATCTTTCTCAAATTATTATTATATCTTCTAAATCTACTTCTTTCACTTCTTTTACTTCTATTGAAGATTTATAAACTCTTTAAGAAATCACTGTGAATCACAAAGTCTATATTATTTACAATTCAACACAGAATACTCTCTATTAATTATAATGAATAATCACTTCATTCTTCACATCTGATTTCAGGTCATGAAATTTATGAAAAACTCAACATAAATATCAAGATAAACTATAGAATAATTATCAATAGATTATATTACAGATTACTGAAGAGTTATCTCTCTACTACAATCACTGTAACTTCATTCAGAAACATTTATTATAAACTGATTATAACTCTGAAGAAATTTTCTGATATCTGAAGTCATCAGAATGCAGATAATAAAAGAAAAATAATCAGAAAATTACTACTAAGCTAATAAGTTACTCTATTAGATAATAATTTTTGATAATACTAACTTTCTAATTTGAAGAAAATCATGTAAAAATAACTCTGTATCAGTACTCTGATTTCATAACTCTCATCTGATAACTTCTGTGAATAATTACTTTATATATGTATATCTCTGAATCTTTCTCTTTGATTAATTGAAAACCTCAAATTCTGAACACTTCTTTAAATGCTTAATTTAAATCTTCATATTCTACATCAATTCTGTCTTCAGTTCAACATTGAGACACACTACAAAGTCAATATACAATATCTAGAATCAGAGTTGAAGAATTATCAAAGAGTGTCTCTTACAGTGAATGCATGAACTAGTACAAATAATCTTACATTTATAAGAGTTATATGTTATTATATTGATAAGAACTGAACTTATCAAGAGATATTAATTGAATTTGAATCATCAATCAGTAGTCATACTGAGAATTATATAATAGAGATATTAATGACTGTGATTAAAAATGACTATTGAGATATTAGTCTCAGTCTTCTTATAATTACAACTGATAATACTGTGAATAACTACACTATAGTGAAGAGCTTGAAGCAAAAATTGACTTTGCATTTCTGAAATAATAAACAAGGTTATATTCTCTGCATTACTCATGTGGTTCAACTTGTGATATAAATACTGATAAAGAATCTTAACATTGAGATGAAGAATAATGAGATGACTGATTCTTGAGATAAGAATAAGATGAAAGTGATTACTCAAGTAACTTTTACATTCACTTTGCAAAAGATAATATTTTTTAATAACACTTTTTAATATTGCTTTTTGATAATGCTTTTTAATAATACTACTGTTAATTTTGAATAGATTGACTAATAATTTAAATATCATAGATTTGAAACATTACTAATGTGATTTATATCTCTTCTAAATAATAATAACAATTTTATAATATTCAATAAATAAACAAATCAGTCACATCACTGAATATAATACAGAATATTAGAATACAGTGAAGTTCAATATATAAGCTAACTATTCAGACTCTTTAATTATATCAGATAATTGATTATTAAGTGCAATACTCTGATTAGAAAAAGATTCAGATATTAAAACTTTCTGATATGAAGTGAACTCAGTTGAAATATATGATTAATTTACTGTTTCAGTTTTATAAGATAATAAAGACAGTCTCAATCACTTATATATCAATGCTGTAGTCAGTCTGATGAGTGTATAACAGTTTATTTACTTATCTTAAGAAGCAGTTGAATCACTTAAAAAGAAATTCAGTCTGAGATAATACTATAGTGCAGGCTATTGTTACTGCAAGGAATAAACTGATATATTACTACAGTAAAATGATATAATCTTTTACAGAGTACTATACTGTAGCAGCTCTACTAGATTTCTTCTGTTAAGTTAATATCTACACTTCTCAAGATTGAACAGAGAAGAAATGAGACTCATATATTAAATTAGCCTGAGACTACTACAATGTCAACTATTAGAGATTTGAATAAGCAGATGTTTAAGATATGAAGACAGTGAAATATAATTCTCTAGTAAGTAACAATCTTTAATAATACTTCATATCATATAGAATTATAATACTAACTTCAAAACAGAACTTATATACATTGATTATAACTGAAAATCAGGCAAAACTATATACTTATAAAACTGAATTTAATCACTATCTTCAAGATAATCTGATAAATTTACACATCAAATCAATTCTAGAGTTATAAAAAATTGTTGAGAGTATATATTCAACTGTTGCACTGATGATATGTGATATTCTGACAATTTCATTAACAGAGATGAGAATAAAGTGAAAGTTTAACTTAAGTTGAGATATTTATCACTATTATTAGAGACAATTACAAGAAGAAATAATCAAGAAACTCATGATTATAAAACATAGAATTATCAAACAGTTTAATACCTCTGATCACAGTATATCAGAGAAGTGTAGTTTTCATGAGAAAGTAAAGAATAAACTTACATAAGAATGTATTTAGTTATTTCATAAGTGTTATTAATAATCATTATCAAATTCTGATTATATAAGTAATCACTGAATAAACTGAATGAGACTGATTTTAATCTTCAGTCTCAGTCTTATTCTGATTTTGAAAGAATAATCATCTTTCACAGTTTATTCTGAAAAATTACTCTCATTTCACTGTTCTTGAATTAAATCTGATCATTTTTTACATCATTTCTCTCAGAAATGATTCATTTTCAGATTTTTTTGAGACTTGGTCCTGATGAGACTCACGTCAAGAAATGTATGAGATCAGATCAAATGAAACCAAATGTGAAATTCATGGTCCCAGCGGCCAGTCTAGTCACAGAAGAGAAACTACAGATTGAGCTTTTCAGAGTCACTATCTCTGAAATCAAACTCTCTCTGAAGTTCTCTCTGAATGATCACATAGAGTCATATATCACTATATTGATTAAGAGAAGAGGCAGTGTTACAACAGTGATGAGAGAGTCAGAGAATGAACTGAACACAGATGAACTAACTGACAGAAGAAATGATATCTCACTGCAAGACGCGGCTACTACTGCCGCGGCTGCAAGAGATGCAGAAGAAGGAGAAGATGTGACAATGAGAGTAATGCTTTCACAGCTCATTGACATCACTGTCTCTGTCTTAATCTGACTTTCTTGACAGTCACGGAGGCCGCAGCTGCATCATAAAGACATTTACTCACTAGAAAATATCAGAATAAGCTCTTTATTATTCTTCAAGAACAATACTCTCATGCACTCACTGTTGCAATTGAGAGAAAAGAGAAAGAAAAATATTTCATGAGAGAGAGAATCTTTTCAAAAAATCCTGTCATCACTATTAGCTTTGTCTCTAAAACACATCACTTTTACAGAGAATTTCATATATAAGATGAAATATGATGAGAGATCTGCAAGTCACTTATTAACTACATTTTTCATATTTTAAATTAATATATAAAGAACTCACTTATCATGTATTTAATTTGAATAAAGATGAGCAAAGAAAGATTTATGTAGTTAGTAGAAAAACTCATCTATTTCTTTGTATCATGTGCAGTATATACACTATCAATCAGTTAGCAACTATTACTATATAACAAAGATAATTTCTAATTTAATAATCTTGAGAGTATAGAGACTATGCTTTTAAAGAGAAGAATATTATCATGCTTCTAACTGTGTCAAGACTCTGTTACAGTTTCACATAGCTTATTACTTTTATATGAATGATTTCATTCATTCTGCAGACTATCTGAACTGGTTTTCAATCACTCTATAACATTATTTGAATATATTATAGAAAGATCTGATTAATAAATATAAGAACCTCACTTCTATATAAGATTAGCAGATTACTCTTTCTTGATAATGAGATGCTGCTGAGGTATTACTTCAGCTATTCTTACTTATGAAATAAGAGAAGAGTATTCACTTATTATCTATATAAAATAGCTAGATGCTGACTTCTTATTAAAGAAGTCAGTGATTTGTTTTTCTTCTACTGAAATATATATAAGAGTTACTGCATGTCTTATACAATCTTCTTAGTATACTAAGTATTATATCTGTAATATTCTCATAATAACTCTGTAGTCTACAAGCTCACTATTTAAGCAAGATAGTTAAGCTCACTTATATAGCTTTTAAAACAACTATCTCTACATGACACCGCTGACTAGTCACTACTTCAGTTCCGTCACATTACAGATGTGAAAAATGTAGTTAATAAGTGACTTACAGATCTCTTATCATATTCTGTTCTATATATGAAATTCTCTGTAAAAGTGATGTATTTTAAAGACAAAGCTAACAGTAGTGACAGAATTTTTCAAAAAGATTCTCTCTCTTATAACACATTTTTCTTCCTCTCTCTCTTAATTATAATAGTGAGTGTATGAGAGTATCATTCTTGAAGAATAATAAAGAGCTTATTCTGATATTTTCTAGTGAATAAACATCTTTGTGATACAGCTGCAGTCTCTGTGACTGTTAAGAAAGCTTGATTGAAGATGAAGATAGCAGTGTTAATAAACTGCAGAAGTATTACTTTCATTATCATATCTCTCTCTTCTTCTTCTTCTTCTGCTTCTCTTGCAGTTATGATAGTAGTCACTGTGTCTTGCAGTGAGATATCATCTCTTCTGTCAGTTAATTCATCTATATTCAGTTCTTTCTCTGCTCTCTTTATTACTGTTGTAATACTGTCTTCTCTCTCAGTTAATATAGTAGTATATAACTCTGTGTGATTATTCAGAGAGAAATCTGAAGAGAGCTTGATTTCAGAGACAGTGACTCTGAGAAGCTCAATCTGTAGTTCTTCTCTCATAGCACATCTGAGCTCTGCTCAGAATACTGCTGAGTTGAGTTTACAGAGTTCTGCAGTTTCTTCATCTTCTCTCTATGAGAAGGCTTCAGTGTAGTCTCTGATCAGTACTACTACTTATCTGCACTACACTAAGCAGCTGAAGAAGAAGAGAATCTTATATACTTACTTCTTCTCTTACTTCTGTTATTTCTGTTATATCTGTAATAATAACTTCTATCATTCTATAAGTATTATCTACTCTATAAGAAGATATCATGTTAACTCTGATAAGAAGCTCAGATATTTAAGCAGTACAGAGCAAGAATCTTAAAGCTTTAAGTATTAATAGATTTCATTAAGACTGAGAAGATCTCTCTTACTCATCTGTAAAAGAAGATGAAAGTATGAATTTCTGAGATGAAAAAATATCTCAGAATGACTGATCTTAAGAAAAGATCAGTCAGTGCTGTTATTGAAAGTATTACAGAGATTAATTACTGATTGAAGAGAATCTCAGTTCAGTTGAAGTAGATGACTGAGATGCTTTATAAGTTGATAAGTTAATATTTTCAGTATCTCTTATACTCTTCTACAGCATACTTCTCTACAGTACTGTAGTACTAACTTCTCAGCAGATAAAGATATCAGTGCTGATGACTTTAACAGAAAAGAATAAGTTTGATAAGAGTGTAATTGTTAATAAGTAAACTCTGATCTCTCTTTTTTCACTTTTTCAGTGAGCTGCAGCTCTATTAGAATAGCAGTGATCTGTGAGTTAATAATATTAATCTTTATTAATTTCAAATATCTCTTTCTTTTCTTATTAACTGCTTCAGAAATTTTACACTTGTGTAGTCTCATTAAACTTCTAAAAAACCCTTTAAGAGAAAATAGAAGAAGAGTGCTACAGAGCTCATAAGACACTGACTCATCATCATAAGATTATCTCTAAAAAAAAACTCTTTGAGAAAAAATAAGAAGTCTCAAGTAGTATTTCTTACTCAATATCTTCAGTGTGTAATGAGACAGTCTCTACTAGCTGTCTCATAGCTTACAATCTCTTTCTCAGCATTTTTCAAATGTTTAAGCAGTTCTCATAAATTCTCTGATAATGAATAATCTTCTTATTTAATAAGATATTAAAGCTTATTATAATATATTCACTTATTTAATATTTTCTTCATAAGATATTCAGTATTACTCTCAATCTTGATATCATTTAACTGAGACAGCTTCATCTCAGAGCATTGCTTATAGAGCTTTAAATAGAAAATATGAAAAATAGAATGAATTGATTTCAATTCTATAAGTAATTTCAACTCATATATCTGCTTACTTATTACTCTTATTACTGAGAAAGATTCTAGTCATCACTAACTGAGCTTCTTACACAGTCTTATTATCTTGATATTCTTTGCTAAAAGTAGCACTTAATTCTCTATCAAGAACTTCATTGAAAGATGTTTTTAATTATAGTATTTTATCTATCACTTCTGAGTATAATGAATACTTTTCACTGTCTTCTCATGAATTTTATTTAAAAGTTTTAATCTCACTTTTACTTTTAATACTGAGAAATACTCTGTTCTCTATATCTATTCAACATTCTGACTGTCTATTTCTCTCTTTAAAATGTTATCTATGATGTCACTGAGTAATAAAGAATTATATTTATAATAAGTATAAAAAGAAGATATCTTTAAGATTGTATTCTTTGTATTATTATATACAAATTCAGTGATTAGAAGATGTTTAAGTCAATCATTCTAATAATATAAATAGAATGCTTAAAAATGCTGTTCTAGTGTCTGATTCTGATATTCAGTCTGATTATCTGTCTGCAGATAAAAAGTAGTACTGAGAAGATATCTTATTATAAAATAATAGTAAAAAGCTGATCAGTATTTGCTGATAAAGAGAGATTCTTAATCTATTATTAATAATTTCAGAGTACTGTGATTATAAATAATAATATCTAAAAATAGATCAGTCAATTCAGAGGCTTTAATCTTTTTATAAGTAGAAATATATTTAATTATCTTTATAAAATAGTTAATAATAATCAAAATTGAGTTATATTCTTTAACTCTTGCTGACTTCAGCAGATCAACTATGAAATTCATTAATAGATTCTATTATAAGCTTTTTGAAACAGGCAGTGATATTAACTCACTGTATTACTTATACTGCAGAATCTTTATTCTTTAACAGATATTATAAGTTTTAATATACTCTTTCATATCTGTCTGAAGCTTGTCTTAAATATATTTATATTTTAGAAGCTTCTCAGTCTTCTCTAATCTGAAGTGCTTCATATAAGAATCATTATACTGAATTCTTAATAAGTTCTGACACATTACTCTGCTATAAGAGATGAAGACTGAATTATTCAGTAGTAGAAGTTCATATTCTTCTAGTTATCAGTAACATGATTTCTTAGCAGTATTATTCTACTCAGAGTCTATCTCTTTCAAGTTTAAACTGAATTCTTTCTTCTTTAACTTCTGAATTTAAGCTACAGTAGAGACATCTCTCTTCTATAACTTATTAATAAATTTCAAAAGTAGTTGAGTTGAAAGATTGTAGACTGTTTCATTCTTTGTCAATTTAATAATTGTAAGATATAATATAAGAAGCTCATGATCTTCAGTATCAGTTCTCTGTAAGAATCTGAGTTTTCTTTCATCTTCTATACTAAGTTATGCAGCTGTCTTATCAGCATCATTCTCAAGCTTTAGAGAACTTTAACTCTCTGCAGTCAGCTTCTTTTGCAGTGATAACAGAGATTCTTTTATAGAATTCTTCTCTGCATTAATAATATTATAATCAGGCTGTTTAGACAGTATATTAGTGAGATTAAGCTGATCTGAATAGTATCAGATATAGAAATTATACTTTAAAAGCAGCTTCACTCATCTGGCTTAATATGCTGTTAAGCTCTTTGTTATCAAGAAGTAATGCAGATTTGTATAATCAGTGAGAACTTACACTGAGTACTTACTACTCTGAAGATAATATCATCAGATTTTAAAGAATTTGATAATTACTAATATCTTCTAATTATAAGTATTATATCTTCTCTGCATGAGTGATAACTTCTTGAAGAAGAAGATCACTGATCTCTATTCACAGTGTTTTATAGACTCTGTGAAAAAGTCTTCTCTCACAGATAATTCATTGTCTGTATTCTCAGAGATGATTATTCTCTGATTCTTTTAATATTGAAAGATCTTCAATGTCAACTGTGAAAAGATTTCACAGATCTCATTCTCAGATGCATCAGTCTCAAACTGACTGAGTAGATCAGAGTTAAAGTGATTCAGTATTATAACATCTGTAAAAGC